AGTTAAGTACTCGTAGAGAGTGAGTACATAATAATCTCATTATTTCAAATTTTTTACAACTGCACGTAATTTCAGAATTAGACTTGTCAAATTTAATAATCCAATGTTTGTTTGTCCCCTGATTATTCAAATTCAGAATCACTATTTGTAGAAAATTCTACAGAAAGACCATATAACCCATATAATAACTCTTCATCGAACATTGAATATAGCTTTCTTGTATAAAATGAAGTTGCTTGCCTCAACACTGGGATGCTTTTAACGACGAGCATAATTACAAACCGAGCACATTTGAAATCGTCGTCATTCTCATTCCGTCTCCATGCTCATGATATTTTCAAGTCCCACAAAACAATCGGTAATAGAGCTTGTTGGCTTAGAGATACCATGACAAACATTAATTGTGGACTCACTTTTTTTGTGTTGATAAGATTCACATTCCAAATATTTCTTTCTTAAAGACTGTTGATCACTTATGTCTAATTTTGTACGAATCATCTTAGCCAAACGTTGTAGTATAAATTTCCTTTCTTAGTCATGACAACTCAAATTTGTTTAAACTCTTCTTCAGAGTCGCATTTGCTCACACATTTGTAGAAAAAGTCGTTGGCTGTCTTATTACCTACCCCATAATGGAATTTCAAAAAACATTTCTTGTAGATATTCAACTGTCATATCCTTTGTCGTGTATATGACAGAATTTTCTATAACTCTTGTCATTACTTGATCCTGATTAGTAAAGATTGTTATTGGATGCTTGTCATCCATGATACAAATAAATGTTTTGAATAGTCATTTAAATGAATTAATCATCTCGTTTGACAAAAAAACTTACTCTAAAGAGAACATTGTGCCAATGATGGTTCAGACCAACAAAAGGAGCATAAGATAAATTATATTTATTCAGTCTATAACTTATAGCAAAAATAATGATATTGTCAAAATAGTCATAATCAAGCTTGGACAAGTCATCGCTTCAAAATAAGCTCATCAACCTACCTCTCTCATCAATTTGGAAGTTCTACACAAACATACTATCCTCAGTTTGTCTCTTCGTGAACAATTGTAATAGAGAATTACCGTCACCATTTTCAATTCTAGATCTTTTATCTTTTTAAATGAAATTGAAGTCATCTCTCTTCGTAAATTCAAGATTCTCTACTCTTCTAACTTCTGTAGCAAGAAAGTTAAATGCATTCGTAGCTCTTATCCCTGATTCTGTCATCAATCTGAGCACATCTTCATTGATTTCTCTTATATTTCTGCTGGAACACAGTAGATGCTTATCACCGGGCTTCACTAAGGAGTGTTTATGAGTTTTTATAAATTTATCAACTGTACAGTTGCCTTGAACATCAACTGCTTATCGAATCATTGCTGGACAACCAGTCATTGTGTCAACTTTTTGAACTTCACTGTGTTGGTGAACTTCAACTCTTTTTTAAAAACAACTTTACCACAAAAAAAGTCATTCGTCTTAATATTCCTCAAATTCGGCCAAAAACTACTTTGGTGCTTTTGAATAGTAAATTCAATATGATGAGCATAAACACAATATTGTTCATATGTTTTTTTTCATTGTGTACAACGGTGCGGAGAAATCTGTTTGCGATTAGATCATTACAAATATCTCAAGCTCACAAAACTGCACAAAAGAAAAATTCATGCTAAACTTAAATTCTTTAAATCTTCTTTTACCAAAAGTAGAATAATTTTCTAATTGGTGAGAGGACTAGATATAAGTTATGCTCCATCGGGATATATTTAGATTTTAAATTAGTCTTTTTATAATAATGCTTTGTTATCTTTCAATGAATTCAGTTTAATGTAATTTTTGTTACTGTGGGTTTCTAATAGATCACTTTAGTTATAAGCTTTTGTTAGATAGTTTAGGTTTTGTTGATAACCTTCTTTTAGTTGTACAAATTACACTCACCTGTTATACAATTTTTTTTCTTTTGCAAAATTGATTATGTGATAAAAATATTATTTATTTAACAATGAAATGCAACTGCATGAATTTTCTTTTATTGGAATCTTTAAAGTTTTGTTATCAAACATTTTTTATAAGTAAATGTAATATGCATAAAATTAATTAAATTTGAGTAAAATTCAAGAGAATATTACTTTAATTTTTTGCTTTAAATGCATTCTTCAGGTTACTTAAATGTTTCTTTGTGAATTGTGCTTTTATATTTCAGTGAACTTTCATCTATTTATATAAAATTGGTGGGATAGATTTTAAGTTAGGGTTGGCTTAGCTTCTATGTGGTGTTTAATCTTAGAATTAATAACTCTCAAATTTTCTAAATTTTCTTGCACAAATCTCTACCAAAGCAAATAAATTTAATAACAAAGGAAAAATAGTTATTATCACCTGGATACCAAGATGTTTTGTTCATGAAGTCTAATGTATTTTTTTTTTTGAGATGAAAACAACCAAAAAGAAAATAATAGTCGAATAACAACACAAAAACACCACAATAAAATTACAATATCGCTCATTTAACACATCAATAACACTTCAATAAAAATTCAATAGCACTTAAAAAATGCGCAATAGCATTATAATGATACCATAATAACACCGGAATAACATCGCAATAAGACCTGAATAATACCACAATAATACCGCAATAACAACATAGTAACACTTCAATAACACCGATCGAATATCACCATAGAGTCGCCACAATACTATTCAAATAACATCACAATAACACTTTAATATCACATGAATAATAATACAATGATAATGTAATAACATCATAATAACACAATAATAACACCAGTCGAATACCACCACAGAACCAACACCAACCGAATATCACTATAGAACCGCCACAATACCACTCAATTAACACCAAAATAATGCCTCAAAATACCACAATAATACCATAATAACACTACAATAACATCGCAATAACATTTCAATAATACATTAAAAACACCACAATAATATTGTAATAATACCATAATAACACCACAATAACACATAATAATATTGCAATAACGCCTTAATAACGCCAGAATAATACCACAATAACACCATAAATTAATGTCGACATTTCAACGTAACTAAACTCATCTCCATTTTAAACATTTCATCATTTTTTTTCAGATTTCATCACATTCATTTCAAACATCTCACCATTTTTCCCAGATCCCATCCCCTCCATTTCAAACTTGTCACCATTTTTTTCAGGTTCCATCATTCAATATTTCTTGTCGGCAAGAGAGACGAACTAAGAAAATCGCTCTGGGAAATCCTACCCGATGGCGTTAAAAGAAAATGAAGATTTATTCGGCGCGAAAGGTTATGTTTTCGAAGCAATGAGCTAGATCGGGTTGGCACATGTATTAAAATATAGCGCATTTCATTTTTTTATTCAGTGGGTCCGCCAGTTACCTGTGAAAAAATTTCATTGTTGCTGCTTGACTCCTGATGTAATATTTTTTCCACGCACGCAAGCTCCTCTCCTCCCCTTCTTCCTCCTGCCCTCGGTCATGTGGGCTTACACAGCACCGCACGCGACTCCCTTTGGTCTCGGCTCACTCCAGAGCCGCACGCGAGCACCACAAATATTCCCTTCCATCTTCAATCTCGACGCGACCCACACAACAAGTCGAAGTTTCCTTCTTCCTCCTTTTGCTTCGCAGACATGCGAGCACAGTGCTGTAAACTTCTCCTTTCTCTTCCTTCTCCTTTTGCTTCGCAGACATGCGACCACAGTGCTGTAAACTTCTCCTTTCTCTTCCTTTGGATGGTTTGATAATGTACAACAGCTGCAATTTCCTCCTTCAACTTCTCCTTCTTCCTTTTCTTCTTCCTTCCTCTTTCTTCCTCTCCGTCGTTGCTTGAGTAAGAAGCAATAATTTTGATTGGGTTCCATAAGTATCGCACGACGAGGAAAACCGAATGAACCTCTTTCCTCATCTTCTTTTCTCAGAGGCAAGCCGAGAACTTTTTGAAATGAAGAAAGAATCCTGAATGAAAACCCCCTCTCAACTCTTAAGTTCAATGCTAGCAACGGTTAACCCACAAGCAAATTTGATTTTTTTTTCCTTACTTTCTGTTTTTACATACAGGTCACCAAATGACATGCTAACCCATCAATGTACAATATCTTTGCAATGGCTCCGCTACTCTAATCCTAATGTAATGTTCCGTTTCATTACCCAGGGGTGGGCTAATCAGTAATAATTGAATTTGGATATGATTTCCTAATCATCTGCCTTTTTCTGCTAGAGACCTTTGAATCCGTAGCCATGTGTTTGGTGCATCTTTTAAATGAATATATCTTAAAGCAGCTACAAGAACTCCGGCTTCTTTTGTCAAAGATTTTCTGTTCATGCTGATTGCTTCTGAGTTTTATCTTAGGGTAGGGAGGGGCGTTTGGGATTCAAGGTTTCTGCTAGATCTCTGCTTTTCCTAGTTCTAATTTTATTTAATATTCTTTTGGGAAATGATACTACTAACCAACCCTGAGGATAAATCACTAATGGAGAACATTAAGAACTCAAGTCCAAACGAAAGAAGTTCTGATGTCACAGAACCAATTTAGAGTTACATCAGCTTGAAAATCCTTTAAGCAAGTGGCTCAGAGCATTTACTTCTACCTCCACAAAAGGAGCTTCTATGATCCGGCTTCACCATGATACTTAATTTGATTGGAGAACTTTTTGACTTTATTGATGAATAGCTAATGCACAGGTAAGTCAAATAGCTTGTATGCATAGCAAGTCATTCCATATAACCAAATGTTCAGGTCTATGCTTTAGAAGCACTTATATATAAATGGTTATTACTGTTTCTTTATTTCATTGCCACATTGCACAGTTCTATAATAATTGATTCTCTTAGCTCCATTTATAATGAAATATCATATTGAAATAAACTATTGCTTCCATCTTAATTTTTACCGGACACAATGAATGACGAAGTTTTATATGGCTGAAAGTTTGAAGATAACCATTTCTTTTTTTGCCTAAAATTTTAGATAAGCACTGCTGAAGCTGTGGAAGTGGCTAGAACCTTAGCTTTGAAAGAAGGCTTGCTGGTAAATTATATTTGGTTTCTGATTTACTTATTGCAGACACGTATATTCCCAGTGCTCATCTGCAAAAACCTGTGAATTCTCCAGGTTGGTATTTCCTCAGGAGCTGCTGCTGCAGCCGCCATTCATGTGGCAAGGAGGCCAGAAAATGCAGGAAAGCTGATTGCTGTAAGGACCATCCGTTCAAGTTGAATTGTAGTATCTTATTGATTTAGATTGATCATTTCGGGAGTTTAACTTTCATAAAATTTTTATCCTCTTTAATATTTCCACATGCATCCTATTCCACAAAGGCCATTTTTCTCTGCTTCAAAAGTATTTTGAGTTCTATGGAGTTTCTTTCTCCTGAACTTTTAATAGTCTCATCATCCAGATCAGTAGTAAATGATTGGCAAGATTTGGTAGGGTACTAAACACAGATTTACTAGGTTTTACTTCTCAATAATGCCATTAATAAGTAATAAAAAATAAGGTCACAAATGCAAGCATTTAATGGAAACCTGAAAATACATGCTCGCCAAAATGCAAACTTTGCACATTCAGACAAAAGCAAATTGATGTTTTTTCGTGTGATTTAATATTTTACAGTTTTGATTTTGTTTCAGTTTATGTGAGCAAACTTGTATGTGGTAATGATCTCTTAGAGAATGTTGGGTTCTTTGATTTTGTTGTTTTCCTGATCTGGTTTGGTTATTTGTGTGGTTCAGCTGTTCACTGGTTTTCTGTTTTTGCATTGTGCTCACTGAGATTTTTGTTCTTTGGACGTGGTTCTGAAGGGTTTCCGACTCAAGATATTGCTTCCTTGCTGCTTTTTTTTTGTAATGGGTTGATTGCTTCGAAATTTGACTTATCTGATGGTTCACCGTTCTCTTGGTTTGTGGCCACTATTCTTCAGTGCGTGGGATTTCTGTTGCTATGGGAGCTCTTTTGTTAGGAAAGGAGAGTTCAGGAAACGGGATTTCACTATTATTATTTGTGAGGTTTGAATTGTGATAAGGGTTTTAAGACTGCTGTTTTCGGAGAATTATAAATAATAAATTATGAGACATTAAATAAGAATGTTTTCACTTAGTAAATTTCAAATGTTCCTCAACTTTGTGTGTGCTGGTTGGTTGTTGGATACCTTTAGTGTTGTACAAGTGTGGTAATCAAATTCCCGAGGAATTGTACACTTCTATTAACTTGAGGGATGTGCTTTTTTTTTTCTGACTAATTCATTATTGATCTGCAAGTGTGCTTAATTTTAGCTAAATTTATTGCCCTTAGTTGACCTGCCTGTGAATTCTCATCAAATTGTGTTTTATTTAGATGATTTTATATTTGGGGTTGAATTTCTTTTATTTGGACGACTATTAATTTAGTATTTGGCATAAATTTTTCACTTTTGGTTTTTTATCATTGAGTAAGGTGACACCCTTCTAGGGCTCTTTGAAGATATTTAGGAATCAGATTTAGCTGGGAGCTGATTATGGAATAGTAAAGGGAAGATAATATTTGGTTGCTGTCCCAATTGAAAACAGTAGAGAGAACCACGAAATGATGATGTTCGGATGGCAAGGAGGTCCGTTACTTATTATCGCACAAGCTACAAACACACCACTTGCAAAAAGAAAATAATACAACACTCTTATGGGCAGAAAATAGAGAAAACAAACTTCGAAACACCAAAACAAATGCTCAAATCCCAAAACAGCCAGGATACAACATATATAAAAGTTTCATAATTGAAAATAACTTGTTTAGAAATAGAGAAATACTAAAAAAGACATAAGGAAAGAAATTGGGCTGAATAGGCAAGAGGATGGTGCCCTGGACAGAAACATCATCTCTCGATTGCTAGATTTTCTGTAATTCTGCAAAATTGTGGAATCTGTTATGGATAGTAGCGAGATCCGCGATTCTACTGAATCATGCAAAAACAGCTCCGCCTCATTCTCCTGGGCTAGGAGAGGCTTTTCTTTCTTATCTGGGAGCACGTGGATCCCACTACATGATGTTCTTTCTCACAAAACACTTGTGAAAGTTTTTAAGATAGCAATTCACTACACTTAGTTGACCCCCTTTCTAGAACTGCACTACTGAATTTGAACATAATATCCAATTTACTCCATTGGGACTTCTAGAAATAGCTTGAAAAATTTTTCATCTCTATCTGAAGTGATGACACGTTGGACCTCCTCTAGCAGTGGCAACCTAAGAGTTGACTGTTTGTTCAAAAATCTTGAAATCCTCTTTGTAGGGGCCGCCTTGTGTTTGGTATCAGCTCCTTAAACTTATTGCCCGCATGGAGAACTAATGTTAGCTCTACTGGTGCTCCTTTCAAGGCCTGAAAAAATAATTTTTGGCACCACATCTATAACTCTGTATGAACATTCATTACCTTGGTTTTCTTCCAAGGAAAGAATACAAAGTGCTTCCCATTTTTGGTGAAAGAGTAGGTGTTCTTGTAGCTATCATAATGTGTGCAAGGATCATATTACCAAGGGTCGACTAATAGAATGTGCAAGCATTCATTGGTACCACATCACTCCACATTTGATCTTGGAACTTGTTTCTAATAGAAAACTCCATAAGGTATATGCCAACACTAATCTTACTCTCTTTCTTCAACCAACTCGGGGAATTTAGCTAAAAATGCTTGTTAGTAGTGAGGTTTAATTTGTTTATCGTATGTGTAGACGTCACATTTTCATCATTTCCTTAATTTATAATGAAGTTGCACACATTTTCCTTCACAGTGCAACATTATATGAAATATGTTGTGGCGAAGCCACTTTTGCTCTTTTATGGGCTCAATTTGAAAGTTCTATCGGATTACTAGCATCTCTTCCTTTTGATCTGGAAATTTGCACTCTTTTGCATCATCACTTTCACCCATATCTCTTGTGTCACTGTGTGTATTTTTCACTGTTCTATGCTCAGTGAAAGAAATCATATTCCTGTTTAGTCAATTGGACGTAATGTGCTCAAATCCATACATTAATCACTTCCTAGTTGGGATGGATTGGAGAGTGGTGGTGGTTTTCACATTTTCCCCACTTTGGACAGGTTTCTCCTTGAGTGGGTTAGGCTTGGGTACTTTAATGGGTGTTTGTTCTCTGATAGTGGGGTTGAACTCTATTCGTAAGATGTGATGGTCACCTTATGACATTGTCGCTTATTAACCTTCTAAACTAGGTTCTAAACATTAAGTAGGGACCAATACGATTATAGTTGTACCATATTACTGATAGATGACTTCGGTCGTCTCAAATACCTCACTATTATGTGTTCCTTTAGCTCCTCCAACTGATATTTCAGCATGAGTTGATCAAATTCATATGTGTATTTCTTCGCAGAAGAATCTCTCTTTTGCATATTGTACAGTTGTATGAAAATATGCTGCTAGTAAAATTGGAGAAATTTTTGCTCAGTATATCTCTTACGTGGGTGTTCTCGTGGGATCAGAAGTTCTGAGATCATGAGATTTTGGGATTCCTTATCTCCTAGAATCAGGATTTCCCGTGATCGTGGGAAGACAAAATCAACGATTCCAGTTTGGTTCATAAATTTTGGGAAAACTCTTGTCGTTTCCAATTTATTTCCAATTTCGTTATTTCTAATTAGAGTTATTCTTTATTAGGAAATTATTTATGTATGTTTTTTTTTCTTTTGAGAATTTTGGCTATTGTTGTTGTGTTTGGAAATTTTATTTTCTATTTTTATGCTCTTTGCAGTTTTGTGTTATCTTCCTTTTGCAATTGTATGTATCTTGTTCAGGAATAAGTGGTGGATTCTCCTCGTAGCATACGTGATCATTCTTTCATTTCATCGTTTGACCGTTGTTTTCAGTCTGAACAATCATCCCAAATACCTCACTATTGTGTCCTTTGGATCCACCAACTCACATTTTTGTATGAGTTGATCAAACTTAGATGTGTATTTCTCCATAGAAGAATCTTTCTAGCACAGATTTTTATAAATATATTACGTCGGTAATGCTAGTGAAGATCTTTGTGTTGCATCTCTGATGCATTCCCGCGGGATTGGAAGCTCCGCGATCATGAGATTGTGGGATTCCGTAATTCGTAGAATCAGGATTTTCCACAATCATGGGAAGACAAAACCAGTCACCTGGTTTGGTTCAAAAATATTGGGAAAAATCTTGTTGTTTCCAATTTTTTTTCTATTTCATTATTCCTAATTAGAGTTATTTTCTATTAGTGACTTATTTATGTGTGTTTGTTTTTGAGAATTTTGGCTATGGTTGTTGCGTTTCGAGATTTTATTCTCTATTTAATGCTCTCTGAAATTTTGTATCGTCTTACTTTTTTAATTTGTGTGTATGTATCTTGCTCTAAAATAATTGGCAGATTCTCCTTTCGGCATACCTGGTCATTTCACCATTTTGTAGTCTGACCGCCGTTTTCAGTCTGGCCAGTCATCAAACTACTCAATTATGTTGTCCAACATTTTAGTTGTCGAATGTTGCCTACCCTCTTCCAAACACGGCCGAGCTCTCATATTTTTATTCCCTTGTTATTTCACAGCCACCTCCTCCCGAAATCTACTTTACAAACACCTTCTAAGAGCCATAAAATGGTGTCATTTAGTATCAGAGACAAACTAATTGAAAAATTTTAGGGATTTATCTTCCTTGCTCTCAAATAAAAAAATCATACAATCTAACTTAAAGATCCCCACAAAAAACCTCCTACCATACTATAGTCGTTCCTTCTGTGATTCTTAGCCCTAACCCTAAATTTTCAAAAGCCAACATTCCAACCTTCACAACACATTTATCCTCGACACCCACCACAAAAACCTATGCCCCCAACTAACGTTTAATTTGTAATCCTACATCTACCAAAATCTATAGCAGGTGCCGCTTGGGAGAAACACTCGAAGAGGTGTCCAGGAATTTATTATGGAAGATTTGTAGCGGGAAATTTTCTAACTCCAATAAAAGCTTGTTGCCTTTGAGAGAAACTTGGGGAGATCACTCACAACTACAATAGTGACTCAACAGATTAAGAGGAGAAAGTCAATCCTATCTACCATGAAGTTTTCAGAGATGAAGAACCAATACCTCGGCGATTTAGCATGAATTAGCTCAGTATACACTAGGATTTTAGAGTAAAAGTGGATTTACCAAATTTTGATGGTCGTTTGGTTCAGATGAATTCATG